TGTTTATTCCAAAGCCAAGAACATGTGCATCATCCATTTTTCTATATGAAAACTAAAACATTTCAATAAAAATCTAAAACACACACACACCAGCAGCAGCAGCATAATTTTAAAAGAAACAATCAAAATGTATACAATAATTTACAATACGTTTATCAAATGAACAATTCACTATTAGGCCCATTTTGTCATGACATTCCTGCAAAAATAACTCCATGTCATCCCTGAACACAAAATGAAATGTGAAGGGCACTCTGGAAGCTTCTGATTGTTCCAGGAGATTGTTGAGGGCCTTTTCCTTGTCCTTTTCATCCATTATAAGGAAAAGAGCTTCTTCCACTGGCCCCCTGAGCAGATGTCTGTTGGAATGGAGCCATTTAACAGCTTCTGTCATGTGTCGGATTACTGGGAGCTCCTTCATTACAGAGAATTAAATGAAAATGTAACTTTTATATTTCTTATAAATGTATTTACTGTCATTACTAGTAAATACATGTAACATGTGGAACAGGGAGAATTTAAAATAAAGTATTACCCTACCTCCTTCCCATCATCTTGATCACTGTATTTGGATTTTTTTTATTTTTTTTATGTTTTCTTATATTAGTAAGTACAAGAAATGTGAGCCCTTGAAAAGTGTGACTCCAATTACTGCACTGCAGCCAGGCTGCATGGGGTGGTCAAACTGCAATTTTCATTCCATTGAGTTCCATTCATACACATGCAATTGAGGGAGACAGGAAATGCAAGCTCATGTGAATTTTGCTGTGTTCCAAAGTTCAAGTCTGGTGAACTCTGATGTCTGACCAATTGATACGACTGATATGTCACAGCATGGCCATTTTACTGAATTAAAAGTATGCAAACTTTAAATCAGCAGGATTGCAATGTTGCAGTAAAGTGGAACAGTCTAGTATGACTGTGAGTATAGTCTGTGACTATAGAGAGAAGAGGCAACAGGAAGATAAGCAATGGATCCTCTCTGCAGGATTGATGCACATTGTGGAAAACAGACTGAATCCCTGCCCCTCTGTCCTACTTTTGGTTTTCCACTATTCCGCTGGAAATTTTATTTTCCAATTTTTTTTATATCTAATGATCATATTTAACATTAAATAAGTTAATTTATTAAGTAGACATTTCTGAAATCCCACTTCATTCCCCTAACCAATGTACAACAATATAAAAAACAAATGCAAATTAATGTACAGTCACGATAATATCCATAAAAAAAAAAAACATAAAAGTAGTCCTAAAATGACTTATTTTCTACAATCCTCTGGAGACAAAGAATAGCTTAATTTGAAAAACAATTGCATTTATGTTACTTCTGTAAAAGAAAGAAAGAAATACAGAAATCACCCCCTCCACTGCAGCTCTCAAATCTCATTCAGAAATATTAACATGTCATAATGTGATCATAATCTAACAAGCCAATGGTATTTGACATCAGTGACATCAATCATACTGCCTGTATGGGAAAAGAGCAGCTCAAATATTCTGCAAAAACAACAACAACAACAACAAACCTCCTTCTGTGCCTAGCTAGAAAATTACACAAATTAGTTATAAAAGCATATGAGTTTAGCCTTTGGGTAAAGTAATCAAATCGTTTGAGATGAGCTGAATATGACACCAGAATGAAATTTGAGATGATGTTTTTTAACAAAAAGTCTTATTTGTGTTAGATCTGTGTGAGTGTGACAGAGGCTGTATGTTTCTCCGAGCATACAAAGAGCGGTTGTGCTTATGTTGACTGGGTGTGAGTCTGGCCTGGGTTATAATGCAGTCCTGTTCCCTCCTTCCCTCCCTGTACTTTCCAGTCAGTTCTTCACTGTACTCTAATCAAATAAAAGCTAAAAAAAATGTTACATACAGTGTGGTGATATAGGTGTTGTCTGTACCTCTGATGGATGTAGGTTCAATGTTGAGTGTTAGCATAATTCTTAATTACATATATATATATATGCAGCATATACAACCACCATTCACAGACCATGCACATACAGTAAAAATCCCAATACATAGAACATTCAGTCCCTACAATGGAAGTGACTGACACACACCCAATAAAAAATGTATCAAATAATACACGTTTCACTTTTCTTTTTTGGATAAGTAGGGCTACTATTCTTGCCCGTTCAAACATTGGTTTCACTTTCAGACCTGTTTCAACTTCAGAACAACCTATACAAGCATGTAAAATCAAGACCCTTATTAATTACTACCTGTATTTCATGTGTCATATTCAGATGTCAACAACAATATACTAACTGAGAGATAGACTATAGTAAAAGCATTTAAGGAAATGAAACATCTTGCACAATCATAGTTTAAAGCCCAATGAATCACAAGATTAAGACAGTGACGCAAAACAAATGAAAAACTTTCATGTTTAATGTCACTGATTGTAAGAGATATATTAGACGACTGTAGCAACCCAGACTCTAACTTCTGATTGCTTAGGGAAACATAAAAAAACATAAAAATTCAACCGTTTAAAATGGTGTTAATCATTAGTATGTTTAATCACAAAAAGATTTAACATTTTAAAAAAGCCTCACAGAGTAAACGCACATGCAGTGAGATCATTCGCCCAAGATGTTGCCAAAACACGAGTGGAGTGTCAGTGGATAGATGAAGGCAGAGACTGCCCCGCAGACTCGTACGCATGAGAAATGACCTGCATCACCCAGTGTGCCAGTCACTCAGCACTGCGCACATCCCTAAAAGAAACAAACAATTGGTCTGTCTTACGCCAAGCTGCTGTCTAATCAATGTAAGCCCTCAAAGATCTAACTGGACAAATCTCCAGTCATATGTCAGTTCGATCTGCTGGCAGTGCAGCCAACACAATAGGTGGATTCATAAAATGCGGGGACAAAACCTTGGGTAGAAATGCTGGATTGGGCCACAGTGAGAAATTTCTGAATCCATTACTCCAGCACAAACAGGGAGCACTCAGTGATAAAGCATGGAGCTCACTCTAATATCAGACTCTGATATTGGCTCAAATGGGGGCTGACACAAGGAATAGAGAACAATATTCATATTCCACCTCGGACTCCAGACACCACGTGGAGGACACAAACGATTAGCTTATTTCAGGAAGACAACAATTGACCTGTCAGACCCAAGCAAAGAAGTACTAAACTCAGCCACATACACCTTTAATATAGAAGTTGAACGACCAAAAGATACTGCAAAAAATCTAAAATGCATCCCACTGAACAGTGTAATGGATCAACATGGAGGCTAGAACACCAGTCACAAAATACTTTCCACTTACAAGTGTACAACTTTCGTGTGGATGCAGCACAATCATTCAAAACACTGTTCCTGGCTCTCTGTGAACACTCCAAGAGAGGCCTGGTGGGCCCAGAGGCAACCCTCTATACGGACACAAAGAAGCTTGAGTCACTAGTCAATTTTTTTTTATTTTACAGGCCAGATTTTTTACATAAAATGCATGAACAATGCAACTAAACAACAAAAAAGTAAATAAATAAATTATAAAAAACATACTTTATCTGTCTGAATTAATATTTATGGTTGCATATGGAATCTACCATTTCTTAGCAAATGGCTTTCTCTTGCCACTTGACTTCAGCCACCTCTCCACAGCTGATGATGGATCATACTGCTGAAGTTCTGGGCCTTCTGTTGAAATGAGGATGAGAGACTGCTGCGGACATCTGATTTTATTCTCTTTGAGGTGGAAAACCACAACTATCTATTTTTATCACACAATTTAGTTTGGTTTTTTTTCAAGAAATTTATAAGAGCTTTATTGATTTTATAAGAACTATTTAATATACTCTGCAAAGTAAGAGCATTTATGCCAGCAGATTTTAAATCCTCTTTTAATTGAAATCTTTCGCTTTCAAATGCCCTACAATTAATCAGCATATGTTCTAGTTTCAGGAAGTCCACGATGATTACATTGACCAGATTCATGTTTTCCTATCGTCTGGAGTGATTTATTAAGAGCAGAATGTCCAATTCTCATCCGAGATATTACTATATCTTCCCTTCTGTTTCCATAAGCAGTTGTTACTTGACCAACTTGTTTTTGGATATTATACAAATGTCATCCTTTGTTTTCTTTATCCCATCTCTCTTGCCACATTTTCCTAACTGAAATTTTAATAGTAGATTTGAAAAGGGAGGAAAAATAAGTTCGGCAAAAGACGGGATCGAACCCGGGTCGATCGCATTAAAAAGCCAAGGCCACGCACTTATCCATCTGCGCCACTGGAACTGATGATTTACAGCCACTTTTAACTAAATGTAAATAGACACTCCGTATTTTTTATTCCAGAGTAAGGGCAATTCATACAATACATTTAAACTGAGCTACTTTAATACCATCTCCGAACTTTCTACCACGACTCTGCTGTTCTTCGGCTGGTTCTTCCTGTATACGTTGATTGACAGATGTCTCGTCCAGTCAGCGGTGAGTAATCCCAAACCAATGGCGCTGTCTCAAACTATACCTACCTCTTCCGGTTTGTCTGATTTGTCGTTGTGTTTTCTGACTTGTTATTTTGTTTTCTGAATTGTTGTTGTGCTTTCTGAATTGTTATTTTGTTTTTTAGACTTGCATTTGCGTTTGTAATTTGTTATTTTGTTTTCAGAATTGTGATTTGCTTTGCACTTCTCGGTCACCGTAATATGGCCCGTTCCCCTCTTTCCCCATCATATATATTGCATAAATCTTGATCCACACCCCAGTCCAGTCGGTGGCGGTAATGCACATATAAGCTGGTTTGCCAACCGCCAATAAAACACCAAAGAAGAAGAAGAAGAAGAAGAAGAAGTTGGCGCATCGGGCGGTTAATGAAGTTGTATTATACTGCACATAGAAATATATTACTTCAGTTATTTCAGGACTTTACGTTATCTTGTGTTCCGCAAATTACGTCTTAAACAGACAATAGTTTTTTTGTCTAGTTGTATTTGATTCGGCCTGAGAAGAAAGAGCCCGCTGTGTCGCAGTCATGCCGCCTGGGCCTGTGCAGATCATGCAGCCGGAGCTGAATAACAAGGTATAAAGCTATCGTTTATTTCTTTTTGATACAGTACTGGATAGATTGATCTTACTTATATTCAGCTACTAACATATTTGTCTTCCATATACATACAAACATGTTAATGGACCGTAGCATTGCATGTTTTGATTAACGTTAGGGGAATGAATCGACTTCCCATAACACAGCTTGAGTCAAGTCAGAACTTTCATTATAATTAATATATTTTTTCTTATACGTTCCTTTTTGCACAGTTCGACCATTATTTCATTCAGTAATTAAATGAATCAATGCTAAATATAACTTATTGCATAATCCGTAATTCACAAATATATAATACAATGCAATATATATTTTTGATATATATATCCTCCTGAGACCCAGCTATGGAGTTTTTGCCTCTGTAGTGGACATTATATTTTAGTGAATTTC